GTACCCACAATACCTGCAGAGCAAGTGAACCGTCAGTGAGGACATTGAAATTGATTTTGTTTTTAATTTAATCCCCTTTTTCTTAATAGCCTTATTTTTCTTAGATGCCTATATGAAGGGAATCTATTTAGTAAAGGAACCAAATTCGGTCAAAATGGAAATGCCACACCCCCAATAATGCAGTACATCAATGTGATTTCATCCAGCCAAACAGTAAAGAAAGATAATAATAACAATGAAACATTTGTATTCAGAAATGCTGCTCGAAAGTTACTTTTTCAGAAGGCGTATTATTCGGAATTCACCCACGACTTCTGGTAAATGTCTAAAGTAGCCCCAAAACTTAGACTTGCTCATGCGTGATGTCACACAAAATGACCTCTCATTTGGAGAGAGCCCAGAACAGCAACAAAGGAATAACTCAAAGTTTGCTTGCTTTTGAGCCAGCCTCAAGACGCTATATAAAGGGAAATAGAAAATGAAGAAATCCAAACCTGTACATCAGGTTTCAGGCCACCTGAGCACCCTCACATTCAAAGCAGTAAGCAAAGGTTGCAATTTTGAGGCAAATTTCTTGAATTTCCATGATTCCCATTGAGAAAAATGTGACATCTGAACAAATTGTGTTTGAGCTTATGGCTTCCACTCTATATCGATGCGTGCCCTATATGGGGTTATGTCAAAATAATATGTAGTGCCTCAACACTTTGCCCTCATCAGGGTGATAAATGGCGACTGCAAAACAGGAAAAGTGGTCCTCTGCTGTTGGAAAGCGTTCCAATCAGTCCACAGAGAAACTTGACATTGTGGCAAAGTAGACAAATGAGCGAGGGATATTGAGGGCAAGACAAATGGAAGTGTACACAGATGAAGGAGCAAGGGGAAAAGAACGAGCTCTTTGTGATTCTCAACAACAGCAAGCAATTCCATCTGGGAACCGGCCCCACCATCTATCATTTTAGCCACAGCTCAAAAAGAACATGAAGTCCAGTTCCTCTATCAGCAATTTTAAAGCTTTCAAGGTTACTTCCACTTTAGTATTCACAGTTCTCAAGATTCCACATCAGAGTTTGTTTTGCACATTTCTGACGCACTCTCCTTAAATAAGAATGATTTAAATACATAAGCCGGACGAAGAAGTTAGTGTCGTGTGTGTGTGTGTGTGTGTGTGTGTGTGTGTGTGTGTGTGTGTGTGTGTGTGTGTGTGTGTGTGTGTGTGTGTGTGGGCACGCTCACTCCTTTCTCCAAAGACGTCAAACAGGATCAGATTCCCGGACGTCGCCTCAGGCCCGTCGTGTCATCTCCTCTGGTTGTTTGTGTCACTGTCCCTGACAGCATGGAGCACCAGTATGGCTCAGCTTAAATCTGACGTCTTTAGATAGAGTTTGAGCTGGTCATCGGTCAATAATCATGGGATAATCCGTAACATTAGATACAACTGCACCACCAGAAATATATTAGATATCCTGGTGTTAAAAAATAATAATAATTTGGAGTTTCGAGGTATTAATTCAAGAATATGTCCATTACAGTGCAATAGTAGTTTTCCACGATGTAAAACCTGCAGTGCAGTGTCTCTTCAATTTGGTAACCAGGTGAGAGGCTGAAAGCATTAACAACAGAATGATGTTAAATTATTACATTTCTAAGGTCATCGAAAATCTGATTAAAAAAAAGGTTTTGGTTTTTTTCTCTTCCCATGGAGCCATGTGAGTCTGATTTTAACGATGTGTCTAACACACACCTCACAACCCCTGAAATTTATTGAGAAATCTAGAGCGCCCACACGCCCGCTCTATCACTCTTGCCCACCAGTATTTGCAGCACACCTCAATCATGTGCGTCATATCTGACCATCAGTTCCATCAGTCCCCCTCAACACCACGCACTGTTGTCACTTGCGTCCCTTTACAAAATTGCCCTTATCACCCTCTCCAACCCCCCTAGTCCCCAAAGCCCTCAATCCCTCCAGTCAGAGTTAATCAACATCAGCCCAATCACCTCCACTTACATCATATATTTAATTCACAAATCCGACACATGAAATATTCATACAATGAGTCGGACGGGTCCACAACTGGTAGCAAGCAGGTCAAGCGGACAAAGGCCCAGAGCTTCGAATCTATACAAATTCATTTCCTGAACAATTTATCTGAAGTTTCATGTTTTTATTTTTCTTATTAAAATTGTAATTGCACAAATTAATATTAAAGCTTCAAAGAAAAATTATATCACAAGATAATTAAAATATTAGTACTGTAGTCACATTCCAACAATGCGCATTACATTGGTAGAAGACTATACATGTAATTAAAAAATGTATCTAAATCAATATGATTCTATTGGATGCAGCCACTTAACAAAATAAACTTGAGTAAACTCAACGCGCCATTTCTTTCAGTGTACTGTACACGCAGACATGTACACAAAAATTTTACAACAAAAACAGCAGGCCCCAAACCTATTTGAGCTACTAACCATTTTCATGTGAAGATATATTTTCAAGGACCAAAATAAAAAACAATGCTTAAAAATATCACTCAACATTAGCTCGACTTAAACGAACTGTGGCCATTTGGCATATTCGAGGTTTTGTTACAGTAACGACACCTTGCAGTTGGTATTTGTTATCTTATTATGAATAACGTTGTTGTTTGCACAAGGTTGTTGTCTGAACATTATTGGACATAATCTGCTTGAATGAAGCTTCACTGTTGTCACTCCCCTTGCTCCGATGATATGAATCGCAGCGACCGGTGTTAGCCTCAATCTGTTAGCTTTCAAGCTAACATTGGAAGCATCAGCTAGCTTCCACTGCCCGTGAGTAAACAGTAACACGTTACGCCACCGGAGCTTAAGGCAGTAGAACGCCGTGCCTACGGCGTGTTGTAAACCATACATAGCAACCGACTACCAAGTATTTTTGTTGTTTTCAACCTGCAACGTGACACATTACGTTTTTTTTTTTAAATGTTCATGCCAGTCAATGTTACAGGCGTGATGAGGGAGCGTATACTGATATTCGGAACAAAATATGAACGATCTTTAAGGTCTAACGTCTGCACGAGTTGAACGCTGGGTGACGACTATTTTTCTGTATTTTCGGACCACACAATCATTAAGAATTGTCAACAATGAAAAAAATAATGCATTGTGCATTGGATTTAAAAGCTATTGTTATCGCACCTTTCATGGAAAATAATTTCTTCAGTAATTGGAGGAAAAATATTACGAGAAACACAACAGTGCGCTGACTGATAAAAGTTGAATTAAAGGAGTTGAAAAGTGGATAAAGGTCAAAATGGACGGATATAGAAGCAGATAAGAGGAAGGAGAAAAGGCGTTAAGGAGAATACTAATAGCTGTGATTCACCCCTTCATTTCGCAGCTACCTGGGGAGCTCGGGAGGTCGCATGGCATCAGTCAGATACATCTGGAGGTCGAATGGAGAGAACAAGCAAGGAGGAGAGGCAAAGAAACAGAAGACTTAAGGAAGATGAGAAGCACTGCAATATGGACATGTCAGCACTCTTAAAGTCTGAAAACAGCACTTCCTTTCCATCAGGCCGACCGTCTGTCAAATCCACCGGGACAGAACGGAGACGGTGCCAACCCGTCATTCCGGCCCACGACGAAAGCCATATATATTACATGCGCTACCCACACAACGCAACGCTCAAGAAGCATCAAGCTGGCAGGGCAAAGAGTCAGCAGGAAAGGAGCGAGACGGTTTTTGCTGCAGGCGTCTCAAAGATGCGGATGATTAGACAGGAAGTAGAACAATGTTTTGGGGTTTCAACAAGAGGGCACACACCGCAGAGGCTGGAGAGATCATATCAACACGGGAGTAGTTGTTCCTCACGATGCAGTTCTAACTGCTTCCATTCACCGAGGAAGACTCTCAACAAGATGTTGCAGTGTGTCTGACAAAAAAAAGGGGTGGGAAGTGATTCCGATACCATTGATACTGCTTATTGATCAGATTCCTTAATGGTTCTCTCATCAATTCTCTTTGGGTGAGGGAATGAAATGATGCATCATTTCACACGTCCAGTAAATCAAAATGACGAAAAAAAAGGCAGAATGTGTTACAGACGGTTTATACGGTATATGGTACATTAGAGGTAAATGGACCAATAAATTGGGAAATCGATTTCTCTGCAACCCGTGGATTAACATTCCACGGGTTATGCAAGGTTCCTTGCATAACTACCTGTAAAAAATTTAATATTAGAAACCCTTAATCAAACCCAGATGTCACACGATTTCTACTTTGTCGTGGCATTTTTCGTTTGCTGGATGCTGTGAGATGTTTCCATTTTTTTCCATCCATTTTCTGTACCATTTATCCTCACGACAGTCACAGGTGTGCTGAAGCCTATTCCAGCTCACTTGGGGTGGTTGCTGGGGTACACCCTGCTGGTCGCCAGCCAATCTAATCTTATCTGAATAATATGTTTGCCTTCTGTCACACTTGTTTGTTTGCGTGGTGGAGTGTGGAGGCAAAGGGAGGACCCAAGTGCAAAGAAGCAGGGAGCCAAGACAGGAACAGGAATAATTCCCCTGGAGGAATTTCCTTTCAAAAGAAGAAAACGATATAAACAAGGTGTGGGATTATCAAAACATTAAATTCATCAAATCTAAAATAAAAAAAGAAGGGTTCAAAGTAACATAGAAACGAATGGGATACATTCGACTCCCAAGAGCAGGAATGATAACATGACAAGCCTTACACGACACATGACAGCACATTTGGGAGACGCTGGCTTATAGGTACAAATTCTGTACTTAACAATGGCAATGTAAATCCACCCTATGATGTCAGGTATAGGCTAGTCCGTGTCATGCACTTGGGTGATAAAATGCAAATTCGAACCATAAAGCTCAGCGAGACCCTGCTGACTAACCTGATCGCTCATGACAAAAGAAGCCACCAAGTGGTCTCGGAGGTAGCGCTTAAAGGCACTAGAAAAGACATAACAAAGACACGGACACATCACCTTGCTGAAGTGAAGGCCATCTGTGCAGCTGATTACATTATTGAGTTTACGGCGTAGCGAAGAATGGGGGCCGTGGGTCGGAAAGCCTTGCGCACCAGAAGAGGCCAAACACATCTGGGCTGCAAAAAATGGGAAAGATTATCTGCACACTTTTCTTTTGTGGATCATCAGCACTTTTCATTGACACATGTCCTCACTTTTTCTTTTTTTTTTTTTTTACCACAGGATTTCCAGTTAATAGACTCTCCCTGGGAGCTAAGCATGAAGGGTGGGTGTCTGGATAGGTGGCGGGGGGTGTCTTTAAATGACACCAAATGGGTTGTTTATGACCTTGTGTGCTAGAGAGTCACATTACATACAACCAAATTGAATCACACTCACTGTGACATTGCTATTATTTCAGGGGCAATAAACTGCGATATCAAAAAATATATCGACACGCAGGTCATTTTCCCCACATAGCCACTTGAAAAAGTCATTTTCGAACTGAAGCGTATTATAGCATTTAAATTACGGCTGTCAAAACAAGGAGGCAAAGACAATTTGGTGTCTTTAAGAGAGGCCTGACAGTGTCATAAAGACGCCGCCATGGCGGGCGATGAAGAATAAATGATAGCAGATATGGCAGCTAATAACACAGACAGACTGGCACAGTGTGTGCGCTGATTCACTAATGTGCTTTTTGTTACATTGCACATCCTCCTGGTAAACCTCAGGAGGTGTTTGCGAGGCAAACCCACCACAGGGTTTTTATTTTCTTCGGTCACTCCGCTCCAGTTACAGGTCATTACGGAACGACACTGGCAGGGGCTTCCTGGAGATCAGCATTACCTCGCCGCCGTTGTTGTCTATTTATCGACAACGGTAAACTGAGAGTGCACATGGAAGCAAAGTGGTCAGGGACTACAGCATGTAGGTTGCCGAAAGGCTTGGATCAGGAATCATTTTCCACATGTGAACCCCCCCCCTCCCGACACTTAGCGGGGACATACACTGGGCTCATACGAAGTCACGACTTCTCTCATTTTTATTGCACTGTTCCCCCACTTTAACATGGTGATCATTCATGGCACCGTTGTGCTGCAGATTTTCAAAAGATCATTTGAATGTTTTTTTGACAGTATACATACAGGTCAGAATATAGAGTTATACGCCCTCAGTGTACTTCGTAGTTATCACAGTGTGCCAAAGCGAGCAGCACTGAGGTCGACTGGAAATGATGCAGCATAATTCAAAGCAAGAAGGAGAGGAAAAAGAGGAAGAAAAGGTCCCAAAACTAACTGAGCTCCAGCAGTAGCTGTTGTTCCCACAAAGCACAAACAATATATGCCTACGAGTTTGGCTGTATGCTCTGTTGTGTGTTTTGGTAAATGCTACATTCTGTTACCCGGGCTATTATGTTTCCATATATGTATTAGCATTAAGTAAGCAGACTTTTCGTTAGCCAAAACCATATGGTTTGGTTGAAAATGTTGGTGTTTCCATATTTAATTTCTGTACAGTGGTACCTCTACTTACGAACGTCTCTTCATACGAATTTTTCAAGTTACGAAACGCCTCAACAGGAAAATATTGCCTCTTGTTACGAAAGAAATTTCAAGATCCAAAAGGTAACAATACAGTATGGGCTGCTCATCGCAACTCCGAGTTTCCTGAACGCAACATACTTTTATAGCTGCTCTTCCATTGGCTATTACCTAGCATCTTCCTGGCATGCCATTGGTTAAGAGGGACCTCGACCGAATGTGTCTAAGCAGCGTCCTCATCATTCGCCCCTTGGGCCATGAGGCGTTCCGATAGTTTTGCGTAAATGTGAATCACCCAGAAAAAGTGTTCACCAGTCGGGCGATCGCTCACTCTGCTGCTGTTTGCCTTGGACATTTTCGTAGGATTGTTAAAAGCTGACAAAAGCAAATGTCCTTGGATCAGTTCAAAACGCCAGGCAAAAATACTTCGGAGAGAGACCATGAACAAAAGAGGGCAAAAAACGATGAGGACGCAGTTAAAAGTTAAATGACCATTATTATTCTTTACTCTATTTTTTTTTTACATTATGCACAACTCTCATTTATTGTGCAATAATATAATTGTAACATGCATTTGTTACATATTATAATGCATATTTATGCTTTAGAAAACACTTATGTCTAATTTTTTTTGGGGGGTGGAGGGGGGCCTTGGAACGGATTACGGCATTTATATGGAAAACAGGTCTCTACTTACAAATGTTTCTAGTTAAGAAATTCCTTCGAGAACCAATTAATTTCATCAGTAGAAGTACCACTGTATTTCATTTTTCAGTTTTAGAGTCAACTCGGAGTGACAAATAAACAGCTTGAAATGAGCACGCTTGACCTCTCATTTGGCAAACTGTACAATCGTGTGAGTGAGAACAGGTATGAAGGTATGAAGGAATGCTTCCAAAAGCGTTTTTTCAAAGGTTTAAATATATTTTCCCAAGTTTAACTTTGTTTAAAGTGTGTGGGAGGGGTAAAAACACTTTGAAAAGGCATTTACAGGAATTACAGAAATTTCAATTCTACTCAATTCATCAATGTACTATTTATAAATAACTGATCAAACCTTTAAAGTGTTTGGAAAACCACTACGCCCTTGTAATTGTTTTTAAACATTTTTTCTAGAAATACAGTTGCTCAGGCATATTTCAATACAGAAAACAGGCGGCACATGCATTATATATTGAAACATGTCTGCAAAGACAAATATAAGCGCAAAGTCACTTTTGAAATACCCGGGATGTCGAAATAATGACATGCATCCCTCCATCCACTTCAGTGCAGAACGAGAGCCACAATAACGAATTCATTGTTAAATGAATACCTGTCTGACAGTGTCTGAGCAAAGCCGAGCAAGTGTACCTAATATTGTGGCCTGTGACACAGATGCCAGGGTGGGTGTGTGCATTCAGTTTTGTAACCATGACTGAGGGAGGTTTCCTCGAAAATCCGACCAATGCACAGCCTGTGGTTACAAACATTGGGCCACATAGGAGACCTTGATTAGATTTAAACCTGGGATCCAAGCAACAAAAGTAATATCAACACATGAAAATGCAAACTAATGCTCATATCGCCAATATATCATTCACCTGAAAAGTACCAGAAACACACCCATCACTCATTTCACTTAACAAAACGTCTGCGATTCAACAGGACATCTTGGGCCCCTCTTCTGTCCAGCATCAATTTGCAAAACTGAGATTACATCATGATGGGAAAATGAGATTTACTTTTCTGAGTGACAATTTTGAAATGAAGATTCATGCAAATGGATGGCTGATTATGCACATGTACTTTGTACAAATCTAATGAGCCACAACAGAGCATCCCGCGAAATAATAAATAAGTCTACCCGGCAGGGTTATTCAATAACCTCAAGGTGTCTTGTTCCTGACTAAATGGGAATTCCACACAAGCAGCGTCATTGCGATTGCATAGCACGCTGGTGGTGCAAGATGTGGCCATACGGCTGCAAATAAATCCAAGAAAGCACGTGGTTAAATGCATTCTGGTTGATTTGCAGGTCAAGTGTTCATTTGATAAATATCAATTTAAATGAATCTGTATTGTTTCAAACATGCGTCGATACTATTTCCTAATACCATGTGTTGCAACACATTATTTGCAAGAGAGAAAAGTATCACATTTTACTTAATCTGTAAAAAATGTCAATTCGCTCACTTATCTATGACAGCTACGCACAGTGGCAGGAGGAACGATGGAAAATAGATGGTGGAAGGGGCAGACTAAAATTAACCTATGTAGAAACTTTTTTGGGGGGGGGGCCATTTTTGTTTGGTGGTGCGCCGTGTGATTTTTCTTCCCCCCTTACTAACGTGCCGTGGCTCAGGAAAGGCTGGGAAACACTGGTTGATTATATTACATAATACACCATGTTTAACTTAATGTATATCATAGTATATTATATATTACAACGCCGTACTTAAAACAGAGGTTCGACAGACAGTCAGCAAAATTCTATGGCACATTATACACCATGTTTAACTTAATGTATATAATGGTATATTATATATTACAACGCCGAACTTCAAAACAGAGGTTCGACAGACAGTCAGCAAAATTCTATGGCACACTGAGCTGGACAAACATCAGAATGGCAGTCAATGCAACTTTGCTTTAAAGCTACGTCAGACTGCAGTCACTTTAAGGTCGATCAGGAGTCTGGATTTTTGTTGTTGTTGTTGTTTGTTTGCTGTTGCTGTTTTTTTTCCCTCCCAGGCAAGCCTTTTAATCGGAACACAAATATTTTACGAACCTGATTCCAGGCGCGTTTCCTCAGCGCAGCCTCAAACTTTACGACGCTGTCCTCCTCCCTCCGCCTCCTCCTTCTCTCTTGCTGCTGTTCAGCTGCGCTTTTGCACAAACTGGAGACTCCCTGCAAAAAGCAGCCGCTCTCGTCAAGCCTCGCCCACGCCGAGTCGGCAGCCAATCAGCCAGCGACTTTCTCTACCTGATTGTACTCATCAAACGTGACATCCAAAGCCAGTGGTTTTGTTGTTTATGAAATCTTGTGACATTACCCATAACATTTTGGTCCACTTGCACTCATGAGATATGGTGCATTTTGCACCTTTTCAAAATTTAGTCGGGCATCCACACACACTTCTCACTGTGCCCCTCCCCAAATGTTATATTTAGTACATGACAGCGAAAAGTTGGCTTCAAATAGCCCGCGGACAGGACTTTGGACACCCTGTTGTTTGTCTGTGTGTGCCCTGCAATTGACGAGCACCCATTCGAGAATGTACTCCATCTCTCAAAGTCAGCTACGATAGTCTCCAGATCACCTGTGACTAGTGACAAACACACCTTAGGTGTTTTGGTCGGTAGAAGGTTTGGGTTGAGTCTCCAGGTCAGTTTGGGTTAAGGCAGGGTTGTTAGGTTTTGGGTTTGCATTAGGGTCGGGTGTAGTTTTAAGGTGACTGTAGGGTTTGGGTTGTCGCAGGTGCATGATAGATACAATTCGTCCATTGACGTGTGCAAATATAAAATGCATAGCTGATTGAAACACCACAGCCTGTAAATATCTCAAAATTGTTCTATTCAGATGCACCATTAACAGGTTGGTGCTCCTTCGCAACCATAAAATGACATTTAATAGACCTGGTAGACTTATTACTGTGCAGAGTTAACACCCCTCTGTGTCTGTCCTTGAAAAGTCTTTTAGCACGCTTCAGGCCAGACCGGACTGTTGTAAAATCGCTGCAGGCCTCCATTGAGCGTGTGCTTTGCGTAGGGGAGAACATTAATTATAAGAAAAAGTTATTTTTCTACATCTGTTTGAAATATCAATTATCTGCAAAGTGTTCATGTGCGATTTGGTTCTACATAAAGGTTTCAGAGGTCATTGTGACCTCACTCATCATTTGATCTACTCTCTCCTCAGAAGACGAGCTCCAAATGATAGCTCTCTGATGAGATTCTGGTTACATTTGTGAATAAAACACAAAATCTTCTAATGCTTCACATCACACCACGCGACATTTGCAAACCATTCCTAGTGGCCTACTCCTAAGTCCCTTCTCCGCTCTTCCTTTTTCCTGCGGGGGATGTAGTGACATCTGTGCAATCTGTGCTGCCTGCTGCCACCCTTCCATCGTGACGCCAGTTGCTGCTGGCACGATCGGTTCGTATGGGTTCCAGGTACAGTGGGTTGGTGGCGGGGAATTGTTTGTGTGTTCACAGTAAGGAGACAATTACCAGGCGGACCGGCCGTGCATGTGGAGAGGCCTTAATTAGATTTATGACTGTGGCCTTTTGGATCTTGGTGTACGACTTCCACTTTACTTATGTAATTAAAGAGGGACTTTGCCCTGTTTGCTGGGGGCATGGCGAGCTAAATGTAGACTGTAGCTCCTTTGAATTGATTAGCAGTGTATATAAAAATGCAAAAAAAAAAAAAAAAGGGAAACTGCTGAAACGCAGAACATGGAACAAGATTACCTTTGACCTCAGTCACTTGCACCATCTGCTGCCTCATATTCAGCAGAGGCCTTGGTCCAAAAATGACTCCATTTTCAAAGAACACAGTTAATATACTGCTCTTCTGATCGTATTTCCCACTTTATTCGATTTACCTTTATTGTAATATTAGGGTCATTGTTTAGTAAATCCATTAAATTATTGTACTTTTTCTTTCTCGAATACTTATTTGTATTCCAAAAATGTTGATAAATATAAACAGAAAGGGGGGGGGGGATGAACCCTACAATATACTGTAACGATGTAAAATAAATCCTCCTCTCATGTTGTCATTCAAAAGTGAGTCTTTTCATCTTTGTGAAGGTAACATTTCTGATCCAGCTCTTACATCGGATCTCATTTGATTTTGCACTTAATGTTGCTTGAGTGAACGTTTTTAATCGCCTGCCTTCCATTTGGGCAGGCAAACACAACGTCGGAAGTTCTTTGATGAACGTCATGTGTGCATGTGGGCGGACACAAGGCAGCGTTCAAACCTTTGACCACCCAAATGGACTTACATCTATTAACACGGTACTTTTAATTAAGGCAATTTCCTCTTGGAACAAATTGGCAGCGTCACATTAGGGACTAAAAACGCTCATGAGTGCACGACCAGAGAGACTGAAAGCATGTGTGCATGTGTACGCAAAAGTACATTACAGATTCGTTAGTGTGTCTCGCCATGAGATTGCTTTCTCTGGGAGGTTCCATTTAGACCCTAATCGTATTTATTGAAGACCATTTTCCATCTTATTAACCTTATAGCATATATTTCTGATGAATGTGTTTTTATATGCGCGTGTGTGTTTTGTCCAGCATCCAAACATTCATCTTTTGTTGATTTGAATATGTGTGTGGGGGAGCCAGGTGGCCATAACCAATCAATAAGCCTGATAATGAGATCTAAAGGGTGTCGTTATGACTGGCCCGCGGGCGTGCAGGGGCTTGTCTTCCGTAAAGAGCACCCTTGTCCTTTGAGAGTACACATCCATCATTTCCCTTTTTAGCCAATACAACACAGATGAAACACCACTGACTATTTATTTTTTCTTGTGTTTTGCAAAGATAGCACCGCTCAACAATCATTTAACCAAACTTTAATTACAGTGTCATTTTCATTTGCAGTGGTGAATTGTACTAAAATTTATTTTCTCAATTTATTTTCTCAATGTTTTTGTTTGACTCAAAATAAGTTGGGTCCTCAGTTTTATGTGTGTGCGTGCGCGCGCGCGCCTGTGTGTGTGTGTGTGTGTGTGTGTGTGTGTGTGTGTGTGTGTGTGTGTGTGTGTTCTTTAATGTGAAACAGGACACTGGGTCCATTCATCCTTCTTAAAACAATTACCATATTGGCCCAAATATAAGACGGTGTTTTTTGCATTGAAATAAGACTGAAAAAGTGGGGGTTGTCTTATATTCGGGGTCTAGACATTATACCCATTCATGACGCTAGATGGCGCCAGATATAATTGAAGCGAATGCTGAACTTGACTCCCAAGGCCAAAGTGAACCCCTATCACAAAGAATAAAAATAAAAATAGCGGTAGCACGAAGAAGAAAAATAAAAAATAGCAGTAAGAAAGAAAAGAGAAGAAAATAATTGAAGAGATAACAGAAAATGGAGAAACGTGGTGACAATCTGGAGAAAAGTGGGTCGAAGATCGGCCAGGTTAACCGGCAGCTGAGGAGAAGTTATGATGTAATTTACATTTTATAAAACCAGAAGCCATTCATTTATGAATGTGATTGCACTTTAGTTTACATATTTAGATGTTCAGATAGTAAGATTTGAATGAGGCAAAATAACATGCTTTTTCTCTCAAATATATTGTTATAATCATTTGTTTCAGATGTACTGTAATTATTTTCTGTATAAAAATTAATGTGGTGTTCAAAAAGTCTTTTTTCAAACTTGAGTCTTGAAAAAGAGGGGGTCGTCTTCTAATCAGGGCCGTCTTATATTCGGGCCAATACAGTAATGCCAAAAGTTTCCTCACCATGCTGACAGATAAATCCAGGCAGTTGTCAGCGCTTGGTTGAATGCTTGAGTTTTGTTTTTCATGCAAAATGGGGCCGTGATTGCCTCCCACTTCCTTGGGAGAGGAATGGATGGCGTGTCTGTGTTTTAACCCTGATATGTGAGCGTCAACGGAGGAGCAACACATGTAGAAAGACAATATAACGATATTCACATGTATGTATTGTTTATCATCTGCAAAAAATGACTAATATTACTGCTGCTTACCGTTCAGTTGTGACTGTCTCCTCGTATATCTGTATGTCTATGTTACACTGCCCCCAGGTGGGCAAGGTGGTGCAGTGAATTAATTATGATGCACAAACTGTTTAATTCTTCACATTCTATTTATGTTTATACCAGATGTTTTTTTTATAAAGTACACGATTGTAGAGTGCTATTGAAATGGATGAATGACATTTCCATTCATTTCAATGGAAAACGTCAAGTTTTTTAAGTTACACATCTAAACTCGCATCTCAAGGCACCGTTTTATTTTAATGTAGATATATACTATAAAAATAATAAATAGATCATCAAGTACATATAAATATACAGCTTGCATTGCCTCTCATGAGATACACACGACAGTGTGCTTAAAATGCAACGCCACCACTGAGTTTGCATAGACCTTATTTAGTGTAGATACAAAAGTATTAGTCAAGCATTATGTTAACAGACAAGTGGTACAATTTTGAGTGGCAGCAGTTGAAATTACTTTCTGGTTTGCATACACAGAGGCATGTTTACATAAGTGGAGGCTACATGGACACGGACATGGAATATGGTCATGTTTAGTGTATATGTGTGTGTGTGTATGTTATGTACGCGGGGGTGTGGGGGGGGGCGGATTTTCACAGAAAGCTTGAAATCTTCTCACTCTTCCCTGAGGCTCCATGTCCTCTGGAGGCTGTAATCCATCCCGTGGTGAGGGCTGGCAAATGGATCATGACAAAAACATGAACGGAAGAACACACTGGTCTTCAAAGTGATTGAGCCAAAGTGAGCTGAATCTACGTGAAAGTCATCAAAACCTGCTGGGGAATGTGAACTGCTTTGTTGCCACTGACCTTGTGAGTTCCATGTCCCCCATGTATAATGTGTGTGTGTGTGTGTGTGTGTGTGTGTGTGTGTGTGTGTGTGTGTGCAATTTACTGTACAGTGTGAGTTTCGGCTGATGGAGCATGGAGGAACCTTGCTTGTATTGTGTCAGTCCTCCAACTGAAGGTTTCGGTTAGTCTAACGTTCAATTAATTCTGCGGGGGATGCCGAGCCGAATCAGTCCATTTGTCTGCGCGGTGTGCACATGAATGCAATCTTTGCAGAACTGTCGTCTCTGGGTGCCTGTTTTCTGAGTGTGTACAAGTGTGTCCTCTGCTGTCAGGGTC